GTCGATTTCTTGTAATCAACACTCATTTACGCACTCGATACCACTGCAACACCCAATATGATGCTTCCTGTCGAATCGACGATGACAGTTGATGTTGTTTTTTCAATCCTCAAAGTGTCAGCAACGACTTCTCTTCCTTATATTTCCGAAGGACATTGTACTAGGAAGGATAGGAATAGGAGGTAGGTATTGGATTTTTTTTCGAACATTCAGAGATCATAATATGTTCTTTGGAATACCGGAAGAATTCCGAAGCTTTGCCGTTTTACACACATAAGAGTATTGGTAAAGTGTCGTTCGACATATCTCGGGTTTGACAACGAAACTTTGTGCTTGTCGAGTTCGTCCGACTGGTATTGTTAGTGATGAAATTGTTGCAGAGCTTTCAGAGTATAACATTACTCATCTGAGTATTCATAGACAAATATTTGTACTCTGTGGATGATGAGAAGCTGTTGAGGTGTAATGTTGATATTGACGCGGTACAAAAATCCATGATCTTGTGAAGCAGCTCTCGTGATGGATCGGACATGAATTTCCCATGGATGATCATTGCTGATGGAGATTTCGAGCGAAGATATGGTAGACTTGGTGGGAATAGTGGCACAAGACATTGTTATAGTAGGCATACTGTGTTTTGCTTTTCAAGAGAAAACGCAGGCTCGAGATTTGGTGGCGTACAATCCAACTAGGTTGCTGGTTCGTCAGGCTGTTATTTTGGCAAGTTTTTCTTTGACAGCGTTGACCTACCCTAGTCGTGAGTTTTCAGTTCACCAGAAAGGAGTGTGGATTCTGATAAAGAACGCTGTACGGAGATTACTATGATCTTCACAGCTGTGGATACGGCAAATGATTATATATATATATGGCTGTCTGCCATGGTATTATTCTGCAATTTTTGATATGGCAGTCAGCATATAAACAAGTTGATATATGAGGGAGACGTACACCTCATTTCAAGACTTCTTCTCGTCACGTTGATTTTCCGATTTTTCTTCGCGACGCGGTTTGCTGGCACTTGAGCCTTCGTAAAACGGTCTGCCAATAATTGTCAGACTATCTTCCTGACATTAACATACTACAAGTACACGTATCCAAAATTACTCTACTAGAGACGGTATTTACCTTCAAAATACTGCAACTTTCCCTGCTCACCCCTACATGAGTCCCACAGACCTACCAGGCAGATTTGCGCCTCAGTGTGCCACATCAAGAATGGAACCATTCCGAAAAACAATTGCTCTTGTATATTATGAGACTAGAGGTATCAAGGACATGCAAAAATTCTGTATGTGGATTATTGTTCCTTCATAGGAGATTAGTAAGTTAATTTAAAATATTTTCTGGTGCCAAGAAAACATATACTTTCTGATGATATTGTTTCATCGAATTCCATAATGTTTTCACTTGACATTTGATGTTTACTTATAATTATATTCCATTCAGAAAAAAACATTCAGATATTTTTTCTATACCCGTTTTGTTTTGCCTTACGACTCCAAATTCACTATTGTTTTCCACGGTAGCCTTATTATATTCTTGAATATCTTCAAACTCGATCGTATTGAATTGAATGTATTCCTTCATGATGTTCTCAACTCATATATTATATTCAGTCCATTGTTCATATTATAAACACACAACAACTTCGAAGTTCACCACCATTTTAATACTACTCATATCATTGGCTAACAGTACCTAATATGTATTTCCAACCTCCAACTCGTATCGTGTTTTCCCGGAACCTAAGTGGTATCGTGGAGTATTTCAACACCCCGTTTTTCATCAGGTGATATTCACACTAGAAAACACATGACTTTTCAAAATTGTTGAAATGTTGTGGAAATATTTGATCATCAGGAATATGATCCACAAAACACTTGATTCACATTTGAATCAAGAATCAACAGAAAGAGATATAATTATCTGGTATAATCATCACGGAAGAGCAAAACGAAATTCCATATTCTTTTGAGGCTATGAAAATCACTCGAAACTTTGTGCAAGAGTAGTCGCTATTGCAGGCTGGTTCTTCAAAGCTCAAAATTGACGGCTGTAATAAAAAGAAAATAGTCATTCATGTACCAAGTGCGTAATATAGATCCTAATAACCGGAGGGTATCATTCACTCTAGGGATCAATGCTGCCCGATGGGCGTTTGGATCTAGTAACGCTCGTGATGCATACAAAATTTTATTCATTGCTCCTAGCATTTGCTTTTCAACCTTCCCATCATTCAATTTGGTGGTGAATGTCATTGCTGCTTTCTTTGTGTAGTCTTATAAAAATAATGGAAATGGATACGAATTAGTAAGCGTGAGGATTCATGATGCCCTCCATAACACCCCCCTAAGTAACATTTTGAATGCCTTTAAGCTTCGATGAGACTTTGAAGAGGTTATGTGAGGGCAAATGATAGGTCTAATTAGTTCTACCGTTTTATGAATGCCCTGGAAAAAGCATATTGGCCTTCATGCCCATATAATGCTATTCCTATTGAAAGGCTTTAAGATACTATGATAGAATTGTCGCATAAAACAATTTGGCATTCAGCTCACTTCGGTTTAAAGAGAGCTCTGTGAGAGTCATTGAAATTCTTCATCAAATATATTCACTCTTAACAATCCTATTGAAACACTCAAGTTTCATTAGTGTCTCGAATTTGACCAAGAGGTTCTGAACTAATCCTATGAAAATACGTCATGAAGCAATCATAAAACCAAATTTACGCTAGGCCAATTAGGATTTGACTGAGACAATAATTAAACCTAATGGCATTTTCCTAGCTATGTGGAAGTAATTATTAGAACCTATAAGCCACAATGAATTCATCGAAGTCAATCATAAAATCTATAGGATTCTTCAAGTTCTATTTAGAACCGTGTTAAACCCAAATCCCATAATGTGAATGTTCGTATTTTTTTTGCCTACAAACGACTCACGTTGAAATGAACTCACAAGTAAATGAATAGTATGAAATTAGGAGAAATGGCAACTTCAAGCGAAAAAATGAAGAAAATTACTTAAGAATCAAAAATCAAGTCGTGAGAGCAACAGAAAATCAGAATTCCCAAGCAATTCCAAACACTCCGTTCATCAACACAATATTAAGCGAACTGCACTGAGTGTAGTTTGCCTATGTTACCTTCTTGAAACAATCACAAAATTCACAAAGTGAATACTGTAAATAACAAAAGTAGGGTTATGTTAATCATGTTGATGAAGTTCTACTTTTTGCAACACTGCCAATGAGCTTTAGCCAGGATATTCTTGAAGCTTCATAGTTATATAAAGGCATTATCTTATAACCTTCTTAAATCAATTATATCATTTTCGAAGCTTTGTTGTCATACCCAGGAGCGAATAGTCATAACAATGGATTCGAATTTATGCAATAAGTACTTCAACAGGAGTAAATCGTCTCATAAAATGCCTTATCATCACCTGAAGGTTTGAATCAAGCATTAGAGAAAGAAGATTGGTTTTAAGTATATTTTGTGCCATATTTACTATAAACAGATGTCGGCCATTTATGGAAATGAAAATTTCAAGTGGAAAATAAAGAAGATGCATCGATACTGCCGTCGAAAATCTTCACGACTCACCCATATTCAGCAAACATTTACACAGTTTTGGCAACTTTTTTGAAAATTTAGCAAAATTCACATCCAATTCTGATTGGTAAAAACACATTATTTTTAGGGCGCTGCTTTTTTTGAAGCATATATGGTATGTGTTCGTCAAAAAAGTCGTCATCGTTTTTATTTTACAGCCACAATCTTCACACAAAGGACTATTTGATACAGTAGGGAATTATCATATCATGCCGCCATGTTCAATCTCTTTCATAACTATCTATTGTTTTCATTCCATTTTGACATGTTTGTATTATAATTAGTTCTGAAAAAAGACTATCATGTTACACGTTATGGACTATATTATCTTAACAAATGCTTACTGCAACTGATGAGGTTTTAATTCTAGCCAATAAGTTTTAATGTTGGCATAAGAACGGTCGTTTTGAAGCATATAGGTTTGAACTCCTGCTGAAAGGATTCATAGGAAGTAGTTTCGATAGGTTTTATTATTGCTTTGGGACATACTGCAATAAATTCCTATTAGTTTTATGACGAGCTTTGAGAGGAGCTGTGACAGCATTTATGAAGTTGGGCCCTTCATGTTTTGAAAAGGTTGTTTAATTGTTTCAATGATATGGAAGTATAATAGTTTTGAAAAGTCATTTTAGAATAGGTTGTAACAACCTCCTGTATAGCTAACAATAAAACTGATAATGTTATTAGGGCCCAGGCGTTATGGGTCTGTTTATAGCAACCGTTGCCAAGGTATTATCCAGCAGTATTGGACAAGTGGAAAATGGAGATTTTATTGATATTGGAACAATTGACAAAATTATAATTTTCACACCCCAATCATACTCGTTACTTCCGAAACTGTTTGATTTCTGCGAAAAAATTCACTACGATTTGCTAGACGTCTGAGTACCTGGGAATCAAATCACCAAGTTGATTGAGAGTATGATATTCGAATGATTTCCACTATTGTGGTACCGAAACAACCCACGATACCCGTTGAGGGTTAACTGTTTGCTCTAATTCTCTTTCAGTAATACATCCGCGAATTCAATGTGTAGAAACCTACAACAGTCATCACCTTGAAAGCTTGATGTGTATTGATCTACCTTCATTTCGCATCTTGGTGTCGTGATCTGAAGAAAATTATATTGAAGGGATTTCAGTTTTCACTGAAAGATGACTGAAAGAAGGTTAGAACTCGTTAAAGCCTATTAATGTGATACAGTCGTTTAAACATTCACTAAACATTTTAGGAGTAGTCATATTCAAGATGTTTTATTATTGAAAATTAGTAGAATTGGTAAGTTTATACAACGACAAACAATTGAAACAAGTCACTGCATGTATAAATGGAATACTTATTAAGTATTGGAGGTGTGCTGAATTTGATGAAGAAGAAGCCACTGATCAATATCGGAATCTTCTATCTCTGTTTCGTATACTACTGGAAAGGCAGAGCGAAAATATGGATCCAATCACCTGAAAAAAAAAAAAACTATTAGTGATGATATTCCTCTCAATCTCTGTCAAATTTCTGAGGAAATCAAGAGGAGGCCAGGTAGCCGCGTAGTAGAAGCGTTAGTTTACTAACCGCGATGGCTTGCCGTTCGTGAGTTCGATTCTGAACGTTTGCATGCAGACAATTTTCTGATGGCTCAAGAAAGTGGTTGAGATCACAGGTTAAATGGTGAGGCACCTGTCATTCCTTACTCGCACAGGTCCCTTGAGGGTTGCTTCCAAGCGGGAAATCGAATGAGGGATAGAACAATTTCAGAAAAACATTTTTCAGTTCATGAAAAAATGAGTCAGTTTCCCTTAGATATTCAGAATTCAATTAATATTCAATCATCAATTTGACATCTAATATCTGACCAATATATTTTCACCGACAGATCACATCAAATGTAACGCTATGAATAGTAAACTTATCAAATAATTTTTTCACACTTGTTAAAAACCGTTGAGAGAACACAAAAACAATAATTGTTGATGCTACCCAGACAAATCACAAGGACGATTACTAAAAGCTTTTATGGAAGGAGAAAAGGAAATCTGGATGTCATCTACACATTCAATGATGAGTTATTCAGGAGGGAATGTTCCGTATTCATGAAAAACCATCTTCAGTCCAATTAGGACGATACTACAAAGGGAGAGTCATAAAAACATACACTATCAGAAATATCAAAGAAATTTCGACTTATGAAGGTGCAACTAGTTATTTGCATTACTACTATTATTTTGAGTGATGAATATTGTACACAAAACAATGACAGTAGACTTCTCCTTACGCACAGTGTGCGTGAAGTGAGCGATTGTACAGTTCCCATAGGTACTACATGATATGTTAAAGGGTGAATTTGTTCTCTTGCTCAGGCCATTGTCGTTCTAGATGACAACCAATAGTTAGGTAGTTAGTGAGCAGACATATTTTGATTTACTGAACATACAATATTATACCTCCTCGCACTAGGTCCCCTACTATAGGTTTTCATCTAGATCGGCAATGGTCAGGCGAGGTGTCAATTTCAGTAAGTGTCAGTAGCTTGGTGTGTACTTATCTTTTAATCAATCGCTCAAGATAAACTTCAATCTGATCAGCAATTATGGGCAAGAAATATTTGTGGAATATATTATTATTTTCCATTGATATTTCTCAATTTTATTCAAAATATGTCAAGCGATGGGGATGAGATTATTTTCACACCACTAGGAATTCTGGAAGAAGCGAACAGATGAGTTGTTGCTGTGGAATCTCGTGAAAAATACCAATCTTGATGGAGTGAAATGGCTCATTGTGCAATTCACACATACACAAATACAAGCTCGAATTGACGAAAGACTTATTCGATATTTGTCTTTCAACACAATATCTGTTTTATTCCAAAGGACGTATGGTCTAGTCGAAGAAAAAGTATAGTACGAATCTGGAGTTGTTAAATAATGACGCTCTCGTGGGATAACACACCTGTCGCTATGCGACATCCTATGTGACTTTCTCCACTTCGTGCAAATTATGCGTTTTACAGCTATGTTCTGTAACATATACTATTGAATGTTGGTGCCAATGACCATCGTCATGATGTTATATAAAAAATTGAAGATAAAGGTACAGTATAGACAGGTTTTCATGTTGCATGATTCAAAAATGGTTTTCTATGGGCATTGTTCAGCAATTACTTTGCAAGATTTCCTCCTGAGACTCAAACTTTTCTTATAGTTAACGGACTCTCAGGGCACGGCTCTTCATGCTACACTAGAACCCGCTTATATTGAACCCTCACCATTGAATTAGTTTCACCTCCATGTGCGAACATTTGTTTACATTTCCGAAATTGCGAGTTATTATATAAAGTGGTATAAACACATTGAATGTCCTAACGGATCCCGTTCATTTGGGTCCATCGCCAAAGCTGTAGGAAGGAACTTTACTTCCAGCTCGTTTCCTCCTTTGACCAAGGAAGATGGACTACTAGCCACAACTGCCCAAGAGACAACCAACATTTGTGTGCAATCATTCACTGGAAATTCCACTATGGATTCATCAGAAAAACAACCTCCAAACATAACGCCAATTGACAGTCATATGCCCGAGATCACCATTCGCCAACGTACTATACGGAATATTTCATTGGATCTCAATACCAGCAAAGCTTGTGACTCCGACGGAATCTCACCGATTGTTCTGAAGGAATGTTCTCCTGAACTAACACCTAATCTCTGCAAGTTGTTCAACCACTCTCACAAATTGGGGATGTTTCCGTCCAACTGGAAAATTGCGAGAGTACAACCAGTTTTTATAAGGGCAAGAAAAATCTAACTAGGAACTACAGACTGATGGCACTGATATCTATTATTACCTGGAACATTCAGGTATTATCAACGATAGGCAATATGGTTTCCGTCATCAGAGATCAACTGGTGACCTGCTGGCTTACGTCTCACATATACAGCAGCGATCTATTGAAAAATATGGTGACACCTATGCCGTGGCACTTGATATCTCCAAGGCATTCGATCGAGTATGGCATCACGGACTCCTCGCCAAGCTTCCATCTTATGGCTTGCCGCCCAAGCTATCTTTTCTGATGTCTAGTTTTTTCTCAAACAGGTCTCTCCATGCAGTGATCGACGGAGTTTCATCTGACTCATTTATCATGAATGCTGGTGTTTCGCAAAGATCAATTCTAGCCTCGAAACTATTTCTACTCCATATCAACGATTTGTTGAAAGCAACTTCATGTACAGTTCACAGCTTCGCGGATAATAGTACCCTCCATACCGCCTCCTCTTCCAGGGCTCCAATACCAGCCAGGCAAATCAGAAACCAACAACGGAGAAATGTTGACAACATAAATATGGTCATTTTACTTGATATGGACTTGTCCTTTTCTCTAGAAAAACCGATCTCACTGTGCCCAACATGAGCCTGTCAGGAATAACCATAACTTTGAAGACATCCATTTCGATGCTTGAATTGCTTGGTATTAGTATCAGCAATAACCTTTCTTGAAGAATTCACGTGAGATCAATTGCTAGAAGTGCATCTCAAAAACTTGGTTTCCTGTTTCGGGCCAGGAGCTATTTCAATTCCAGTCAGCTGCTCATGATCTATAAGGCACAGATCCGACCTGTCCTGGAATACTGTCCCCATATTTGGAGTGCAGCCCCCAAACATACCCTGAAACTGTTAGATTTTGTCCAAAAAAGGGCAATTCGTCTCGTGGGTCATGCATCGCTCACAGACTCACACACTTCTCTGGAACACTGCAGAAAAGTTGATAATCTGGCTCTATTTCAAAGATATCTTCATGGACGACGCTCTTCTGAGATATCGACAATTGTTCTTTCCTTGGCAGTCCCCGCGAGATAAACCCGTTGAGTTGAGGCTTCGCACCCCTTCGTGGTCAATTCAGAGACCTGCAGAACATCTCTTTCCAAAGACTCGTTCATTCAATGAACAGTGAGGCTCTGGAACACATTCATAAGGGAGGTGTTTCCCGGGGCATATAACCCCCAGAAATCTGAGGAGAACAACAATTCCCACCTTATTTTCCTTGGTTCTCACGATGTTCTCTGAACATCACAGGATATCCCTTTTAGTGGGAACCAGAACATAAAAAAAAACTCGACTGCGCTTTGTTAAAAAAATCAGATCTCGATCATCAAAGTAGCAATATGCGCTCTAGATACAGAGATTGTTCATCCTGAATGAATCACCCAAAGGTATCAAATTCTGAAAAATATTTTCTTCATGATAATTATTTGAAAATAGTTATCTTTTGATCATTGAACATACTTCCATCAATAATCCAATTCCATTAATCCTTCAATTGATAACTATTTCTTGATAAGTTTTAGCGGAAAAAATATTCACTCTGAGTTGGAAATAATGATTTTTATTTGGAATATAACAGATATTACTCAATATTCTTCAATATCACCCAGTAAATTAGCTGTATTCTATTGGATACTCTGATAATAATTAATAGTTATTAAACATATAATCCTAGTTTTCACCATATAAAAGGTACCTATTTTCTATATTTGACAGATATTTTGTATACTATGCCAGGAAAGTCGTTGGTTATTTTCATATAATCTCAAAATATTTCTTCTATTCTCCATAGGACTACAAACACTTCTTGATCCCGGAATCAAGAATAATTATTGAAAAATGGCATATTCCAGTGATCAAATCTGCACTAATTTCCACGATTTGATTCCGCGATAAGAATTATGTACTTTCCGTGTACTAGGTATTCTCAACCAACTGCGGAGTATATATTCGCCATTATCCACTATAATGTTTTTGACCTGTATTTTATATTTGCATTTCTCATGAAATATTAATTATTATTCATTAATAGTTATTTTTGTATCTAGAGCGCGAAATGCTACTTTGGTGATCGAGATCTGATTTTCTTAACGAGGCGTAGCCGAGTTAAAAAAATAGTCGAGATGACCAAAGTATTTCGCGCTCGAGTTGCAAACAATATTTTTTCTACAAACGTCAAAAAATATAGTTCTAAAGTAAAAATATGCTCAGCTTGATATAAAAAATAGTGTTGAACTGGCTTAAAAGGCTTCCCCCTATCCTCCCTAGGTACGCACGATGTTCCAAGATGATAATAGGAATTTCCATTCGTGCGCTCGAAGAGATGAAACAAAGGTATTGCTGAACATTCAGAAATAAATGATTTCGTAGATGTTTTTTCGATTGAGGACCATAAAGTTGAAATATAAATATTTCATATATTTTACATAACAATGCGCGAAGTAGGTACTTCGCGCACTGTTTTACTTCGCGCATTGTTTTGTGCAAGGTATTATGGTAACGTAGGAAACTGAAAAAAAGCGTCACTTCGCAATTTGTTTTCAATGCGCGAACCTTGTCATTTTTTGACGTTTGTAGAAAAATAATATTATTTATATCAGAAGTTTTTCACAGTGACACCGACCTCATAATATTGTTTCTC